CTCTCACTCTTGTACGTGTACTGCAAGTTAAAACAGTTACATTAAATATGAGATTTCAACTATCTGCTGATGTGCCCATTCTCTCTCACTCTCGTACGTGTACTGCAAGTTAAAACAGTTACATTAAATATGAGATTTCAACTATCTGTTGATGTTCCCATTCTCTCTCACTCTTGTACGTGTACTGGAAGTTAAAACAGTTACATTAAATAAGAGATTTCAACTATCTACTGATGTTCCCATTCTCTCTCACTCTTGTACGTGTACTGGAAGTTAAAACAGTTCCATTAAATATGAGATTTCAACTATCTTGCTGATGTGCCCATTCTCTCTCACTCTTGTACGTGTACTGGAAGTTAAAACAGTTCCATTAAATATGAGATTTCAACTATCTGCTGATGTGCCCATTCTCTCTCATTCTTGGACTTTCGAAAAATGAAAATAGTGATTCCAGAAGTTTCATGTAACATTTTCATTACTTGGTAAAAATGTATCCGTACAAAAATGATTTTAGAACCAGTAATCTTTTTATACTTACGAAGAAGTACAATGATGCACAGACAGCAAAAACACAGATTCAACACACTATAGTCCAAGAGACGATCGTGTAATCTACCAATATGAGTATAAATGCCCCGCCGACACTTTTATCTTTGCACATTTTGAATATTAATGTTTCTCAGTGAGAAAATGAAAAGATATAAGCATAATTTTAGTCCCTCCTTTATCTAAAACTTTCTATTGAGTGTTTATGTGATTTTATTTGCAAACGATCATATGGTCTTTCAACAGAATGTTTAGTTCATTGGCTACGAGGAAGAAGTAAAGCTCCACAGTGACACAGCGGTATATCTGCGGGCTTACAACGCTAGGAACCGGTTTTCGATACCCGTGGTAGGGCAGAGCACAGATAGCCCATTGTGTTGCTTTGTGCTTATCTTCAAACAAACAAGCCCTCCCCCCCAGTGGCACAGCGGTATGTCTGCGGATTTACAACGCTAGAATCCGGATTTCGATACCCGTGGTATGCAGCGCACAGATAGCTTTGTGCTTGTCTTCAAACAAACAAACATTTAGTAAAATATTCGTTATCAAAATTTTGTCTTTAAATAACATTCAGAAATAGTTTCAGTGAGTATTTCATGTTACAAAAAATGTTATCGCAAAAATAATCACTGACATTCATTTCTTAAGTCACATACAGATTGATTTCTCAGATGAGAAAATACTAGTTGGGCGCCACTAGAGAGCACTAAAATAATAAATGTCCATAGCACGATAGATATCTTTTTTTTTTCTTTACATTTGAAAGTAGTATATCTTACCCAAAATGTGAGGTGGTGCAGTTCTCTGCAGTTTTTAAAACGAAATTAATTTTGATAATTTTCTTGGACGTTGAAATCTGAAAATATAATTTGCTGAGTTTTAGCCTGAATTCTACACTACACAGAGTTGTTAAAGGACTATTGGATCAGGTAAAGCCACTATTATAAAATAATTGAAATCACCCTTCAGTTATCTTTAATTTGTTTGTAGCTAAGCACAGGGCTATATATCCGGCTATCAGTGCTGTGCCCATCACGGGTATTGAAACTCGATGTGACTGTTATAAGCCCTCAGACTTCCCGCTGAGCCCTGAGGAGCTTTCTTTTTTCTTCTTCCTTTTTTTTTTTACAGATCATACCTCTCCCATACACCACGAGTTTTGTAAAATAACCATATATAACTACTCGGCGTAGGCTACGCTATATCCATCAAGTTCTTAAAACTACGTTGGCATGCCACATGCTGTCTTTCATCAACCTCATTAAGTACATTCACTTGCAGAATGGGTAATTCAACACATGGTTAAAGTATCCGATATTGTGTGAGGTGAATATCCCAGGATTTACAAGTGACAAACAGAATTTTTACTTAACGTATAGAATGGAATGAGGCTAAAGGTAACGAGTAAAATAAATGTGAAACGAAGCTTGGCTAATATTGACTTTGACTGACACTAACAAGTTATCCTTTTTCAGCAGCCATACACAGACTGTCTGAACTCTGACGATTCAAACTAAGCTGACTGAGTTGCCTCAACTTTGGAAAAGTTTGAATTAGCTACAAGGGAGCACTCACTTAACAACCCACATTTTCTAGATGTGCCTATTACAACCCAATTAAAGGTCATATAGTGTCAATTCCACATTCTCGTATGAATGTCAAATAGGCGACACAAAAAAAGGTCACCATGATAGTTAACAAGGCAAAACACACCAATAAGAAGATGGAGACAGTCAGTCTGGATTGTCAACAACTACACATGTGTGATATGAATATGTTAATATGGAGGGTTGAGTACGTTGAATTAAAACAATAATGAAGATACAAAACAGCAAGTCACGTGAAAACCACATCCGATGTAGAATCATGGTGGAACAGAATATATAAGAACTATATTTTGACATTACGTAGGTAGTGTGTTTCCACCACAAACTGATCGTTTTTTGGAAGGGTATGTAACAGTCTTTTCTGAAGCAAAATATTCACACACACATATTATAATAATGCGTTCAAATCGAGGATTTATAATTCCAGTAAGGGAATATCTCTTGTACTTAAAGGCATTGGAAAACAAAGGAATATGGATTAATTTGGGCTTCCAGAACCACCCAGAAAAAGACCTGCAAGTAGTCGTTACCCCACCATGGTAATAAGAGTACGGCATTCTAAAATAGTTGAGAATACATGAACACAAAAGTCAGTGGCCAAAATTGTTCACATGCCCCATGGCAACATTACGCAATATAATAAAGAAGAATCTTTGTTTGGAAACGCGGCACAACTCACGTATACACAAGTTGCTTCCACTACATATCTGTTCAACCATAGCATACCTCAAGCATCTGGAGAATGAAACATATTTTCATGCTATTCTACAGAAAAAAATATTGATCAAGACGCCTTTCGATGCAGACTTTTGCTGTGAAAACTGCGATACAAGGCTCTTGTCAAAATGCACAGTCGTAAAAGTGTACGACTGGACGTGGTGGCATTGACTGTAACAATGTGGTGAGATTCCAAAATCGTTTTAACTTAATTCTGGAAATAAAACTGAATGTTTGCACACAAACCGTTATGTACCAATCTCCTTAAGTACGGTATACAGATAACGTTGTGCACCATCCTTCTTAGGTACATACGAATATCAGATACCGTTGTGCATCAATCTCCTTAGGTACACATGAATATCAGATACCGTTGTGCATCAATCTCCTTAGGTACACATGAATATCAGATACCGTTGTGCATCAATCTCCTTAGGTACAGTCCCCCAGTGGCACAGCGGTATGTCTGCGGACTTGCAACGCTAGAAACCGAGTTTCGATACCCGTGGTGGGCAGAGCACAGATAGCCCATTGTGTAGCTTTGTGCTTAATTACAAACAGACAAACCTTAGGTACACACGAATATCATATAGCGTTGTGCACCAACCTCCTTAAGTGTATACATATATCAGACAACTCTTTACGCCTTCCTTCTTAAGCTCCTACATATTTTTATGTGCACCAATCATTTAAGTCACATTTATATAACGAATATCGTTATGCATCAACTTCTTAGAATATAAATCAATTCGTGTCTCTTCCTTACTGGAGACATTCAAAGGAATGACTTAGGGGGTATTTTTCTTCTACCTACAAAATGTCTCTAAGTTTACCCACTGTTCATTTGATGGTAAAGTTTATTGTATGCTTTTATAACTTAGCGCTAGGTTAGATAATGTTAAGAAATCGCTTAGAATTAGATGTCGTTAAGATTTCTTTATGTTCAAACAACTAGTGCGTAGCCTATACGATCGCGTAAGTCTAATTATTAATCAGTAACATCATCTATTATTATTAATAATTAGATACAAATTAATTTGTAATTAATTGAATAGAGTCGTTTAATACGAAGATTTAAATTGTGGCGGAATGCTACAAGTTCTTCAAATACCTATAGAATGATAGGTTTCTTTTTTGTGAGTGTAAAACATTTAAATACACCATTAATTTGTAATTAGTTTGTATCCTACAC